TGTCTGAAAGTAGTGGCCAACAATCCTGCATCTTTTGGTCAATCGCAAAATTAAGAAATTAAAGAGTTATGTTAATAAAAACAGTAAATTAAAGAAAGTTGGATCTTCTGATTTATTGTTTTAGTTTTCTGTTATTTTCAGATACAATGAGGAACCCGCAAGTATGGTGGGAATTCCGGAAATTTTTTGGAGAATCCTTTGGGAATCCTGGAAATCCCGTGCGAATCCTGGGAATCTTGGGAATTCGGAATCCGCCGTTTCCCCCTTGCATTTTTCACATAAGTTGATTACAGTTAAATTTATGTATTTATTTAGCTATGAAAACCTATGAAGATTATGTTCGTAATACTGGTGCACAAGTATCACATCCATTGATGAAAGAAATGCTTGCTGATATAGCGGCAGCCGAAATTGATAAACTTTTTGAACCAAAAGGACTTGAATTTCTTGATCAAGAACATGCAAAACGTCGTGCTATTCAGCAAGCACATCAGTTTGCTTATGAAAAATATGGATCGGGTGGCATATTTAATGTGCAAGAAGGTCAATATGGAGGACACTATCACCGTCATCATTATCATCACTATGAAGAATAAATCACTTTGAATTTTTATCATATTATGTTTCTAATGATAATTTATAATCGAAAATAAAGAAAAAGTCTTCTATTTCAACTTAAATCACACTTGATCGTTCTATATATTCTTCTATGCCGCTTATCATTTGATTCGCTTATAATTATAATTTAATAGCATATGATTATTATTATTTTTCTTCTGTTACGTACGACAACCTGATAGTAACCATATGATAATCCATAACAACAATAAAGAATCTTCACACAACGCATTTTGCGAACACTATTCCTTGCATGTTTCTGTATTGTGTTACATGACGCATTCGTCCTTTTATTTACTCAATTTAAGAATCTAGCTATATCTCTATTTCAAGCATAAAATAAAAGTATCCATAATCATTTTTCATAGGACTATCAATCTAATTTCATTTGTATCTAGATCGAACGAGCAACTTTTATTTGATAACGAAAAGCTTTACATGCATACATTGAAGATAAATCATAAGTGTTAATGACAGCAATTACACAAGAATTATTCGACGTCCAACGGTACTATTTTATTCGACAAACCAGTAGTACAGCTGGCGAGAGATCAAACATTTCCACGAGCATTTTTCATGTGAATACAATCTAATAAAATCATCGAATGGTCAATTTGATAAATTATATAAAGAAACGAGACGACGTATGACAATTCGTTTGAAATCAGATGTGAAGAAAAATTGAGTAAAATATGAAATTAATTATGACTGATTCCTATCAATTAATACACACAATACGTTATAAATAAAATTGTATATTCAATCAAATTTATTTTTCTCCTGTTGAAAACAGTTTTCAATTAGTCATGTTTTGTTTTCTTTTTTTGCTTTATTAAATATTCTTACATATTCAATAAAGTAAAAATATTTTCTTGATTCAAACATACTATCTATGGCGATAAAAGACAATGTACAACGTTCGAAAACAATACAGATTATTGTCAGAAGAAAAATCGTGTAATGAGATAATATCGAAGAAGGACCAACGATCTAATAGCTGTTAAATGTAAGCTACGACTTTCTAGCACAGAGAACTGTTCAATCAAAATTTTATATGTATATGAAATCTATTCCATTTTGTGGAACATGTTGTTTTACATAAAGAACCATATGGTTAGCCTTATTGGAGATTTCTCTATCGATATATTCAATTTTTTTAATAGATTTTCTCTGAATAAATAAATGGAATGTCGCTCAAATCTTTTCCCCTACGCACCACCAAGGCTAGGACTCGTTGATGATAGAAGCAAAAGTTTTGGATCTATAAATCGAGCAGAATCAGTTGTAATTGACATGGATTAGCTCATATCTTAATTTAAATAATGTCGTCAATACTTCACTTCTGATTTTTCGGTACTCAACTCATGATCCTTCACGAAACAGACGATTCAGTCGGGACATGTACAAAAGTATAATAAAAAAAAATGTTTGTTATATTTTAGATAACCATTTAATTGATTTGAACATTGGTAACTTGAAAATCAATCGATAGATATTGAGAATAAGAAGAAATTATAATTGATCTAATTTGATAGGAATAAAGTAAAGTGCTTCAAATATAACATGTGTATAAATAATGTTAAAAGTTAGATTTAGAATATGAGACAAGATGACTCTTGAATGTCCAAGTTAACGATATCAACAACTGTTCAAATCAGTATGAAGATTTGAAAATGTTCAGGAAGAAAACAATACGCAACAAATAAATTCTGTCAGTCAATTTTTCATATTAGATGCTGTAAATTATGTAGGATAAAATCAAAATAATTTATCTTTCAATTTGAAAAATACTTGGATGTCTCGGTCATCCAATAAGAAATTCAAATGCCCATACTTCCGTTTATTCGTATTTTTGGCCGTCTTTAAATGTTGTTAGAAAATAATTGTAATGAGAAATGATTCGAAAAATTGACACTATTGAGTATTATTGGATGATTACGGGTGTCTATTGATATTGGTGTTTGTTGCATCAATTCAGTCAATTCACGTCAATAGAAAACAATTTAAGGACTTTCATATGGTGATGTGCAGATGATCTATTGGTGCTTACAAATACTTACGCCGAAATGAAGGAATTAAACCTGGTAAACTTATACTTAATTTATTTTTTGAGCGTTTATCAATATAATATGAAAATCATAAGAAAATCGAATCAGTTATTCATCTGTATGCGGTGCGTAAAAAAGTTTTCCCAGGGAGGGGCTAATGCTATGATTTTAAACAGCATCAATAACAAATTTTATACCAAATCAAAGCACGTCAAAAATAGGATATATTAATTCTAAATAGTAAGAGTTATGGGAACTTTTCAGTATCGAATTTAGGAAATTCCTAGAATTTTATGTCATATTAGTAGAGAAAAATTTCATTTATGAAGCAATTCAAACCAGATTCGATTTGAAATTCTGAATATCACAAAATAATATTTATTTTTTTTGTAGTCTGATGAATATAGTCAATAATCAGTATGACAACACATTAGCTTTCGTTACAACACGAAGATGAGATGGATAAAACCATAAAATACTTTCAAATATCTCAATGATCATTTCCATGTTTCTCAAAATATTTGAACAATGTTTTTTCTGAGTTTCTTCATCAGAACGACTGCGTTCCATCTTTCATAGTATTGTTTTCAGCTTTGTTTTTGATTATCGTTCAATATTTTCAGGTTATGTGTCGAGTACTCTGTGATATTCAAAATTTTAAATCGAATCTGCTTTGAATTGCTTCATAAATGAAATTTTTCTCTGCTGATATGACATAAAATTCTAGGAATTTCCTAAATTCGATACTGAAAAGTTCCCATAACTCTTACTATTTAGAATTAATATATCCTATTTTTGACACGCTTTTATTTGGTGTAAAATTTGTTATTGATGCTGTTTAAAATCATAGCGTTACCTTCCTCCTCCCCTCCCCCACTGGAACAACATTTTTATGCATCCTGAACATTAAAAATCAAAAAGTTTTATTTTTATTTTCAAACAAAAACATAAAGAGAAAACTTACAAATTCAAAATGTCATTTCAGTTATTCATCATTTCACCTTTATTAGCAATATTCACGATTTGGCTTGTCGTTTATTCTGTTTAATCAATTTCTGCACACGTTCTTCAAGTTTATATCTGATTTGATTCTATGTGAGATCTAGTGTGGTGAGTGTCTGTGTGAGAAAGTATAGATGGAAATACGAGGGAGATGAAGCGAAAATGAGGGTGTGAGTGTGTGGTTTGGATGTGGGTGTTGGGAAATAGAAGGCCCACATTCACATCCACACCCACACATCCACACCCCACACACCCATACCCACACCCAAATACTAGAAATACTCATTAGATTTCAACTTTGGCTTCGCAAATCCAATCTATTCATAACTTAATTTATTTTTATTCAGAGAAAAAATTCATTATGCTGAAGTATTCAAGGTGATTAAGAGGAAGCATGTCCATGAAATTAATCGGTATGGATCAATGCCATACGATTATCAGCCTTGTAAAAAAACTCAAAACCGAACTTTCTGTAGAGTTTCGGTGCAGTTATAGCTCCAACACCTTCATCGGAACAAAACAAACAGATTGATCCATGGGCACATTGTTTTAAATTTCTATTGATAAACATTCCCAGAAGAGTGTTTGTTAAGGCAAAACCAAGTCTCTTGTTCTGATATTCACTTGCTACGGCGATATCCGTCAAATAAGCAAATTTTGTTTCATAGTCTTCTGTTATTGACACGACAAATATTCGTCCAAAGCCGCATGGACTATTGTTTGTTTTGTCAAGAGCCATGACAACACCAGAAGCTGATTTGACTTTATCTTGCATTTTCTGATCATTCCAGTTCTTTGCTCAGAAGGCATTTTCACGCATCATATTGGTTATCTTCTGAGAATAAGTCAGAATCATTTGCTTATTCGTCAGTAATTCACAGTGTTCTCGATCAAATTGCACGGAGTCATAATATTTTACATGAGCAATATTAGTAACCATTAAACAATTACTTGAATGTTTGATTTTAAGTTGATCAATGTCAATTTGACCGTCAAACATAGGAAAGCGTGTAAACACTTGGGAATTATTCGGCTTACCCAAGTGAAAATCAATCGTCGAAAGAAGTTTGTCGAGTTGATCATAGTCATTTGGCACGATTGTTATTTTGGTAAAGAGAACTAGTACCGATCGATCCGGACGATCAACGCCAAAAGATCCCTCAGCAATTATCATTTCAGCATCTTTAACTCGAAGCGAATGCGTTTCTTCATCAAGTTCGATCTCGAACATGATGTGACTCTTTCGTTGAGTATCTAAACAAATAAACACATTGCAGGAATGGATGGTGTTTTTCTTTCGGTTTCATTTTTCCGTGATAAGACAATGCATGAGTCAACAACAACAACAGCTAATCTTATCTAAAAGAATGGTCAACGTTTAGAAAATGGATATCCTATGAAAACAAGGAGAATGATTTCTATTGTTACTGTATCTCCCGTAACGATTTTGAAGTGAACTTTCCCTATTATCGTTTTTCGGTTTTTGTCCATCAAGTTGGGTGTGGGATGTGGGTGTAATTTTTTCTTTCGCCCATCCACATCCATATCCACATCCACAATCACATTCACACCCTCACCCATACTCTAAGACAGGTTCGACATTCCAATATTGTCACATTCTCGTTTTCTTTTCTCTTAATGATAATTTAAACAATTAGATGGTATTTTGGTTTTCATCAGAAAGATTTTGAAGTTGAACAAATAATATAAGAAAAAGAAACTAATACTACTTGAAAAGATCCTTTATTATATATCGCATTTATGTTCAGAGTTTCAATTTTCTATCAATTTGTAATGATTAAATATATTTTCATTAAAGTAAACATTTTAATAGTGTAATAATTTTTCAAATAGAAGAGATTGAAAATGATTTTGTTTATTTTCATATTTTGAAGTATGAGAAGTCATGCATAAAGAAAGAACAGCAG